AAAAAAAAAAATTACTGGCCAGGCATGGTAGCTCACGCTTGTAATCTCAGCACTTTGGGAGGCCTAGGTGGGCAGATAATTTGAGGTCAGGAATTCAAGACCAGCTTGGTCAACATGGTGAAGCCCCATCTTTACTAAAAATACAAAAATTATCCGGATGTGGTGGTGTACACCTATAATCTCAGCTACTTGGTAGGCTGAGGCAGGAGAATCGCTTGAACCTGGGAGGCGGAGGTTGCTGTGAACCAAGATTGTGCCACTGCACTTCAGCCTGGGTGACTCCGTCTCAAAAAAAAAAAAAAAAAAAAAAAAAAAAAAAGTAGAGAGATTATTATTAATTAGGCTAAATTATCCTAGTCGCTGTAACCCATTTCAGGGGGCTTAACAAATAAATGTTTATTTCTTGCTTATACAAAAGCCAGTCTGAATATTTACTACTGTTCATTCATGGACCCAGACAAACCTATTTTGTGACTCTGTCTTCCTTTAGGTCCTTGAAGTTAGTTGCCTTTCAGTTGGTAGACAGGGAAAGAGAGAAAATGGAGGATTGCATGAGAGAATTTTTTTTTTTTTTTGAGACAGAGTCTCACTCTGTCATCCAGGCTGTAATGCAGTGACACGATCTTGGCTCACTTGTAACCTCTGCCTCCCAGGTTCACACAATTCTCTGCCTCAGCCTCCCAAATAGTTGAAATTATAGGCACCTGCCACCACGCCCAGCTAGTTTTTGTATTTTTAGTAGAGACAAGGTTTCACCATCTTGGCCAGGCTGGTCTTGAACCCCTGACCCCATGATTCACCTGCCTTGGCCTCTCAAAGTGCTGGGATTACAGGCGTGAGCCACCTTGCCCAGCCTGCATGAGAGATTTTTTATGGGCCAGGCCTGGAACTGGTGTATGTCACTTCTGCCCATACTCCCTTGGTCAGAACTCTGTCATGTGCCTACATCTGTCTGCAGGGAAGGTTGGAAAAGAGTGAGCTCAGGAGGAATGGGAACAGGTTTCAATGAGCTTATAGCACTGTCTGCTATAGGGTTCTGTAGACTCTAGAGAGCTATGCTGTCTAATATGGTAGCTACTAGCCACATGTGGCTACGGCTCTTGAAATGTGGCCAGTCCAACTTGAGATAATGTGCTATAAATGTGAAATATATACCAGATTACAAAACTGAGTATAAAAAGTTTAAAATAGCTCAGTAATTTTTGTATTGATTACATGTTGAAATGATAATATTTGAATATATTGGGTAAAGTTAAATATATTGATATGTTATTAAAATTAATTTTATCAATTTTTTTCTCTTTTTAATGTGGCTACATTGAAAATATAAAGTTACCTACGTGACTCACATATTTCTATTGAACAGCACTGCTATAGAAAGTTTCCTTTAAAGCATTGAGAGAGGGACTCTTACTGTGTAGGGGTAGGAGTATCTCTTGGTCAGGTTAGTGTTTCCTTTCGGGAGTCAGGAGAGTGATTCTGTTACCTGATAAGACAGGTTTGCAGGGAAATACAAGGGTTGGAGACATTGTAAAGAGAGGGAAGGCTGTGAAGACATTTTTTTCCCCATACAGATTAAGGTTAGGTATTACTTTTGAGGCCGGGAGAGAGGTTTTCTGTAGACGGCCAGGCCAGAGGATCACAGCATACTCAGGCCAGGTGTTTCTGTCCAGGATCAGAGCTGTTTTACTAGGGACAGACAGATCAGGTGATTCCACTGGGGGTTAGGCCAGGGGTTCCTGTACAGGTTCCAGGCAGGTATTCATCATGGTGATTCTTATTAAGGGTTGTTTAACAAGTTCAGAACAGGGGTTCCTCTACAGTGTAGAGGTTTTTTTTTTTTTTTTTTAAAATACTGGTTCATTCCTTGGATTACTCTAAAGAGGCAAATCAGAGGTTCCTGTTGAGTGTAAGGGCAGGATTTTCTGTGCCAGCTCAGGGCACAGGTTCCTGCTGGGGGTCATAGAGGTGCCTGTGTGGGGTCAGGACAAAGATCCTGTGTGCAGAGTTAGGACACTGCTCCTTTAGAGTTTCAGGTTGATGTTTCTTCTGTTGGGTCAAGGCAGTGGTTCCTGTACAGGGTGCAGGTGGGGCTTCTAGGACAAGGCCAGGGCAAAGGCTGTTATAGAGAATCGCATTAGGCTTCCTGTTGAGGGTCAGCAGTATGTTTCCAGAGAGTAAAGTTAGGAGCTCCTATAAAGATCAGAGATTCCTGTAAATGAGGAAAGTAAAGGATTTCTGTTGAGGTTCACAACAAAGGTTTTCTGCAGATACTGGTCAGAGGTTCTGGTACAGTTTTAGGGTCAGGCTTCCTGTAGAGCAGCTGTCCCCAACCTTTTTGGCACCAAGGACTGGTTTTGTGAAAGACAGTCTTTCCTTGGATAGTCGAGGATGGTTTGGGGATGAAACTGTTCCACCTCAGATCATCAGGCAGTAGTTAGATTCTCATAGGGAGCACACAACCTAGATTCCTTGCATGCACAGTTCATAGTAAGGTTCATGGTCCTATGAGAATCTAATGCCACTGCTGATCTGACAGGAGGTGGAACTTAGGTGGTAATGCTTGCTTGCCTGCTGCTCACCTCCTGCTCTGCAGTCCAGTTCCTAACAGGCCATGGACCAGTACCAGTCCATGGCCTGGGGGCTGGGAACCCCTGCTGTAGAGGGTCAGGGTAGTGGAGCTAATGCAAGATAAGGACTAGGAGCCTCATGCAGCATCAGTAAATGCCACCCATATAGTGAGAAGTGGGGAGATCCTGTACCAGGTGAAGCCATAAGTGCCGGTATAGGCTGAGGTCAGGGCTTAAAGTAGATGGTCAAGTGGTTTTCTATACAAGTTTAAGACTGAGGTTCATGTTGAGAGTTGGTTTGTGGGTTCCTATGGACTCTATAGGATAGGGTGTGAGATCAGGGAATGTTGTACAGGGTGACGTCAGGGGTAATTGTCAACAATGAAGGCAAGAGATTCCACACAAAGGGTTACTGAAGAGGTTGAGGACAGGTATTTCTGTAGAGACAGAGCTGGGTCCATGGTTCACTACTCAGTTTATTGTGAGTGAGGTGTTTCTAAAATGCTATCTGGAGGACAGGACTGCAGCAGTGTGAGCACAAAGGTGTTCCTGTCTGAGGTCAAGACAGGATTCAAATAGGGAGGCTGAGGCTTGTGTGGACGGTCAGGACAGGGGTTCCTGTCCAAGGTGTGCAGGGGTTTCCTTACAGCTTAGTCCAGATGTCCCTAGCTGGGGTTAGGCAGAGGTTCCTCCTATCCACTGTAAGGGCTGGTGTTCCTATGCAGGATCGGGATAGGTTTCCTGTTGATAATTAGTTGAAGGGTTCCCCTAGAACTGAAGGGGTTTATGGAGGACAGGGCCTCCTGCAGGGTGTGAGGGCCGGGTTTCTGAGGGAAGGCCAGACAGTGGCTTTGATGGGATCAGGGCTGTTGTGGACAATGCCCGCAATGAGCATGGACTCCTGTGATTCTACAGCAGGCTACTCAGTGGAGCTGGCGTGCCCCCTAGCTGATGGGCTGGTGTTCTGGGGAGGACAGCTGCTTACCTATAATATGGTCAGGACCTATGGGTCTCCACAACCCCCCTATCCAGGGCTCTAGGGGAGAAGCCATAAAAAGCAGGGCAGTTGAGTGTGAGCAGCACTCATTTGCTGGGCTGGGGGTGTCACCCCATCCAAAATCCTCTCCTTAAACTTGGTGGTCAGGGTAAATTACCACCAGTTCTGGGCCTCACTCTTCCATTAGGGAAATGAGTATGGGTATATTTTCCTGAGAATATTTGTTTCAGGCATTAATGAACTAAAGCAACTGGAGCCTCCCAGCCTGCTGCCAAGCCTGTGATAAGCCCTCAGGAAAGGGTGCTTCTGGTTATGGGGAGCAGCTGAGCACACGGACCCCAGGCCAGACTGCCCTGCTGGGCCCCTTGCCACTGGCTGTGTGGCCTCCAAAGAGCCACTTATACAGTCTGCCTTAGGATGTCCCCTGACTTGGAGTATGCTCCTGTGTGTTTGTGAAATTGAGGAACAGACTGCTGTGGGGGGGGCAGCTCACCCAGGTGAGTGGGAGTGTTGGGGAGGGGCTGGCACTATGTAGAGCGCCCCACCTACTGAGGTCAAAGCATCACCTCCAGGGGCTGCTTTGTTCCTCTAATCGCCCCCTCTCATTCTCTACTATTTCCCACAGGGCTGCAGGCTGAGCTGGGCTGAGCAAGATAAGACCCGGCTGACAGGAAGACCCATGGACAACCCCGAGCCAGCTTCTGACAACTGGCTTCTGACTTGCCAGCTACCATTCCAGCTCCACCCTTCCCTGCATTCCTTTCCTGAACGTGTCTTTTGTCCCTTGGACAAAAGACAGTCCCTAACTTACACCCTCTGAAACTCTGCCTGTTGAGACCTCCACAAACAAATGTACACAGAGCTGCTCACATCTACCACTCAGAGATGCTGTGACATGGCACATGCCACATGATATGCACACACATGCACAGCCATACCCATGCACAGGGACTTGCAGTGAAATATTGCCATTACCAGATCCACAAAGACATCCTGACACATTCTTCTTGTTCAACATTCCAAGAATATCAGTCAGATTCTGTGCCCACCGTGTATGCTGTCACGCTATCTCAAAGGTCCCCCAGCATCATGCCCAGCCACATTACCACAGCCCTGCACACCTCCTTATCACCTGCTCCAGCGCACACACACTTCCAGTTCGCTCATACAGTCACCTGGCATCACCCCCACCGTCGGCAGGTCCTTCTGTTCTCTCACCATGACATATGGAACCACCTGGATGCTTCACAAGAAGTTTCACAGACTGCTGGAATCACACATCATAACCCTTGGTCACAAAGTGTCACGTGTTGCCTCAGCCAGTGTCACATGGTCGCACATTGCAGCCATGCATTGTCATCAGAGAGCCACAAGCATTGCTACACACTCCACCTGGCTCTGCTGTCCAGCCACACATAGACTCACACCTCTAGTTTCAGGACTTTGGTGGTTTTATTTTACAAAAGCTTTGAAGGTTCAGGCCTAGGGGATGCCTGGGGCTCAGAGACTTGGGTTGTCCAGACTGCTGGCTACAAGAGGAGGAAGACACCACCCCTGCTCTGGAGGCCACGCTCTGTGCCCTCATGAGCTGAGTGGAGCCACCACAGTAGTGCTGGTGGTGGTGGGCATTGGGCCTGTGGGGAAGGGGCCCGTGGGTGAGCCCAGCAGGGGTCCGGGGAAAGGCATGAGGTGGCTAACAGACCCTGACAGCACCACGGGGGCCAGGCCTTGGTAGAGATGGGCAGTACCGGGGGGGCCGAGTGTCAGGCCTGAAGCCACCTCCCCACAATTCCCGCTACTGCTGCCCCCAGCCACCACCATAAAACCACCAGCTGGTCCTTCAGCTGCTCCTGTGCTTCCCAGACTGGAGCCCCGTTTCTTTTTCCCTTTTCCAGATGCCTTGCGGTTTCGAGTCTGAATACCATCCTTCCGCATGGTCAGTGGCCGGTTCACCTGCCAAAAGGGAGGCTGCAGATGTCCCCAGCTCCAGATCTTTACCTCTCTATGTCTCAACCAGGGCCACCCTTTCCACCCCACTTCTTTTAGGGTAAGATAATTTTGGGGTGCAGAGATTATCTCAAGGAATCCTGAGGTTGTGAGGCCCTGAGCTTGGGAAAGCCTCCAAGGCCGATAGGAGGTGCCTAAGGTCTAGGGCGGGGGGGGGCGGTGGACATTAGCTAACGCCTGGAGGTTGGGGAGAGTAGAGGAAAGAGGAGGGTGGAGGAGGAGGGAATGGAGAAGGAAGGAGGTAATAACAGAGAAGAAGGAAAGTAGAAGAGATGAGTGAAGGGGAAGGGAGGAAGAGGAAAGAACAAAGAAGGTTGTGAGGGGAAGAGAGAAGGTGGAACAGGAACAGAGTAGGGGGCAGTGTGGCGTAAAGACAGAGAAAGTGGAGGGGTGGCTCCAAGGGACAGGGCGTCACCTGGTGTAGCTTGTAGTAGAGGCCGCAAGCATTGCACACGGGGTCCCCGCTGGCATTTCTCCGCCACAGTGTTGTGGTGGTCGTCTGGCAGTTGGTGCACTGAGTACCTGCCCGTTTGCTGACAATCTAGGGGATGAGAGGATGTGAAATCATTGCCCTGGGGATGTGGAAGTGGGCATAAGGGGCTCACAGGGGCTCTCAGGAGGACCCAAGAAGTGAGGGTCAGGTTGAAGGCAGGGTTTCCTATATAGGGTGAGAGCAGGGGCATTTACAGGGTGATGCCTGAGGATTCTGTATGGGGCCAGGACAGGGGTTCCTGTCTGGGATAGGGTTTTTTTGTTCTGTATTCTATGGGGGACTATACTGGTGGTTCTCAGCTTTGGCTGCATACCAGAATTACTTGGGGAGCTAAAATGTGCTGATGCCCAGGCAGTGCCCCAGTCCAGTTCTATCAGCACATCTGGGGGAAGGGACCCGGGGTGACTCCAGTGTGACTCCAGTGTGAAGCCAAGGATGAAAACACTGCTGTGCAGGGTGGGGACAAAGTTTCTGTTTGAAGCCTATAAGGGTAGGTCGAGGATAGGAGCTCCTGTAGAGCTGGGTTCCTGTATAGGGTGAGGGTGGGGGCTCTTATGCAGGGTGAGGGTAAGCATATCCATATCGAATGAGGAGATTTTCCTGTGTAGGATGAAGGCAAGGGTTTCCATGTGGTATTAGGACAAGGGTTCCCACACAGAGTGGCCTGTAAGCATGAGAACAGCATTCCTTTACAGTGGGAAGATGTGGCTTCTTATACAAGGTGAGGACAGGCATTCCTATGTATAAGGTCAGGCAGGTCTGCAGTCTTACCAGGCGCTTCTTGGGCCGGATGAGGGGCCTGTTCTGCCCATTCATCTTGTGATAGAGGCCACAGGCGTTGCACAGGTAGTGGCCTGTCCTGTCCCTCCGCCACAGTGGAGTGGCTGTTGCTCCGCAGTTTACACACTCCCTGGCCTCTGGTGGGGTGAAGAGGGGAAGAGGGAGCTAGGCTCAGCTCAGCTTTACCTTGGGCCACCCCTCCCACCTCAACTTCCCTGTCCTTTTTTGAGTTCCTCACCACAGGGAGGCAGGGGCAGAGTTCCACGAAGCTTGGGAGAGGAATAGGCTGCTGAATTGAGGGGGCTCCCGGTGGGAGAAAAGAAGGTACTGGAAAAGTCAGGGCTCCCATAAGCACTGCTGGGGACAGGGAGTGATGAAGGCAGTGCAGGCCCCAGGGTCAAGAGGTCTGGACTCAGCCGCTCTGTCTTCAACGTCTCCAGGAAGCTGGTGCTGCCTTTTCCATCTGGATCTTCTGAGGCCTGGGGAGGGGATTCCTCGCGGGTGGGACACACAGTTGAGGCAGGATAGAGCCCCGTCTTGCCGTAGGCCCAGCCGGCATATGGTGAGCCCCCTGGGATCCCCTCCATACAGTTGAGCAATGGGTACACCTGAAAGACTGTTGGGGGAGCAGGTAGGGACAGAGGAAAGAAGAGGCAAAATCAGTCTAGGGTCAGCCCACATAAGGGTGCAGTGGTGCCCAGCACCCACAACATGGTGGCCAAGTTCCCACCTTTTCCATAGGCTACCAGAACAGCTGCTGGCCACTGGATGCTTCCTGGATCCTGAGCCCCACTGATCAGTGTGGCATCTGCAATAACCTCTGACCATTTCCAAGTGGGCTTTTGAGGATGACTGTTGAGATTTGGAGCTCCACAGATTACTCGACAACTAGGGGAACCACCACAGACTTCCAATATTGCCTCTCAGTGTAGCCACCCCAATGTGTCAGGTTGAGAAGCATTGGAATTTCTAGGTCCTCACTTAACTAGGGAAAGTGGTCAGCATGTCCATTTGAGAAGCTTCCAGCCATTTCTGAGATATCCTTACAGTGCTATTCTGACCTAGCCAAGGGTCTCCATGGCAGCCCCAACAGCACTCAGCCAATGCCAAGACAGCCACCCAATGGAGTTACCTGGGGAGTGTCTGTAGGCCTCAGCATCCCTGTAGTAGGCCAGAGCCGCAGCTGCAGCGGTGGCTGTGCTCGGGGCAGTGGAGGAGGCTGCTGCATCCAAGCCCTCAGGCCCAGAGGGGAAGAAGACCCCCGACTCTGGCGTCGAGGACACCAGGGCAGGATCCACAAACTGGGGAAGGGGCTCCGAGGTCCCCAGGGACCCCAGGCCAGGGAACTCCATGGAGCCTCTGGGGGTTAACCTGCGAGGACAGAAGGGGTTCTCAGACAGAGAAATCCTCCACCCCTCACCTCCTTTCACCTGCTCCTCTTCCCCCTTCCCCCCCAACTCCATTGCCTCAGTCTCCATATTTCTCCTTCCCAACTCCCCATTCCCCTCCTCCTCCTCATCTTAGCCTCCCCTCTCCTTCCCCTCCTTCTCTTCCCCCCTCTCCTGTCTTCCCCTTCCTGCATCTCTCCTTTCCACTCCATTCTTTTATTTCCTAAGTGCCCCTCCTTTAATCTTCCTCTCCATTTTCCCCATCTTGCCCCATTTCTTTCCTCTCATCCCTCCTTTCTCTCTTCGTCTACTCTCATCTGTCTCTACCTCTACCTTCTTCCCTCCATTCTGTCTTCTTCCCCTCTTCCCTTTTCCTCCTCTCTTTCTCCCATCTCTCTTCTTCTCATCTCTTTTTTGTCCTCCTCTTTCCCGCTTCCTTCCCTTTCCACTCCTTTCTCATTCTCCTCTCCTGTTTCCTTTTTCTCCTCTCCTTCCTTTTCCTCCTTGCCCTCCTTCTTTTCCTTTCCCGTTTCTCCTCTTCCTTGTCCTCCTTCTCTCTTTGTCTTCATTCTCCTTTTATACCTTTTATCTCCCTCTCCCCCAACACACACACTTTTTTTTTTGAGGCAGGGTCTCCTCTGTTGCCAGGCTGGCACAATCTTGGCTCACTGCAACCACTGCCTCCTGGATGCAAGTGATCCTCCTGCCTCAGTCTCCTGAGTAGCTGGGACTACAGGCGTGTGCCACCATGCCTGGCCAATTTTTGTTTTTTTGTAGAGATGGGGTGTGACTATGTTCCAGACTGGTCTTGAACTCCTGGCCTCAAGTGATCCTCCCACCTCAGCCTCCCAAAGTGCTGGGATTACAGGTGTGAGCCACCGCACGCAGCCTCTCTTCCCCTTTCTAGATCTACTCTCCACTCCTCTTTCTCCTACTACTCATTTTCTCCTCCCTTCCATTTTCTTCCTCCTTGTCTCTCCCCTCCTTTTCTGTTCATCTTTCCCCCCCCTTTCTCCAGCTCCTCCTCCCCTCCTCCACTTCCTCTTATTCTCCTTGTCCCCCCATCCTTTCTCGTCTCCCCATCTAGAAGACACTGGGTGAGGGTGGGATGGGGTACAGGACCAGAGTCCCTTGAGCCTCTTGGTCACTTCCCAAGGACTTTAGGGTTCACCATCTTTTGCTCCTCAACTTCATCCCTATCTGTTGTATCTTGCCCTCTAACTTTCTCAGAAACCCCATGGTTTCCGGGCTTGACTCCCTCCTCCCTCTACCTCCGTTGGGTCTGCAGACAGAAGGCCCCCTTAGTTCCTCCCTACTTCTTGGGGGGGGGGGTCAGTACCCCCCACTGCTTATCTCTGCCTTCCCCGCCCAACTTTTGAAATCACCCCAAGGCCACTGACTTCCTCTGAAGAGGGTGACAGGTGGGAGGTACTTCTACTGGTACCCTCTCTCCTGGGGAGGCCCACCATAGTTCTGCTTTCAGGCTCTTTCAGCTCCCAGGCCTCAGTTTCCCCAACTGTTGTATTGGGGGTGATGATGGGCTCGGGCTGAGCTGAGACCTGTGAGATGGCCCTTTGCCTCTGTTTTGCCTTGTGTATGTCTCTGTCATCTAGTTCTCTGCCTGTCTGTCACCCTGGGGCTCTTTCCCCTGACTCTCTGTTTCCTCTCAAGTCTGACTCTACATCCCCCCCAGCTTTCTTTGTTTCTATGATATAGCTTGTCCTCTCTTTCTGTGATTTTTTTTTTTTTTTTTTTTTTTGAGACAGAGTCTCACTCTGTTGCCCAGGCTGGAGTGCAGTGGTGTGATCTCAGCTCACTGCAACCTCAGCCTACCAGGTTTGAGCGATTCTCATGCCTCAGCCCCCAAGTAGCTGGGATTACAGGCACGTATCACCACACTCAGCTAATTTTTGTATTTTTGGTAGACACAGTTTCACCATGTTGGCCAGGCTGGTCTTGAACTCCTGACCTCAAGTGATCTGCCTACCTCAGCCTTCCAAAGTGCTGGGATTACAGGCGTGAGCCACTGTGCCTGGCTTCTTTCTGTGCTTTTGTAAATGTCTGATGCTTTTTCATCTTGTTTTCTGTCTTTCCATGTTTCTCTCTCTGGTTCTCTATCTCTTTCTCTTACTCTTGCTTTCTCCTTCTCCTCTCCTATCTCTCTGAACATCTCTGCATCTCCCCCACTCTGTCTCTTTCTGCTTGTTTGTCTCTTCCCTCTGTTTCCCTCTCTTTGGGCCCTCTGACCTTATGTCCATGTGCCTCTTACTAGTCCCATACACCTGACACCCAGCTACATCAGGATAAGGAGCCTGGAATGCTGGCCCTGGCCCTGTTCTGCTGGCCTGCCCTGTTTCTGTGTCTGTGGGCTGGAGTGACTGGGCTGGACTAGAAGGCTCTCTGTAAACTGCCCCTCACCCCTGCTTACATGACCCATGGTGTAGACAGGCTAAGGGGCAGGCCCAGGCTTGGGGATTCTGGTGGGAAAGAGATGGGCCACAAGTGTGCCCACCACCAACACCTTCTCAGCCCCAGGGTGCCTGCTGTTACTCTCTGAAGAGAGTGTCTTGCTTCCCCATCTTGGTCTCCATCTCCTTCGTCTCTGTCTCTAATTCTGTGTTAGTCTCTGTCTCTTCACAGTGCTACCTGCAGGTATTTCTCTTATTGCATTTCTGTCTCCTTTTCTGCTCCCGGGTCTTTTCTTCTTTTTCTCCGGCTGCCTGTCTGTCTCTGTCTCTTACTCATTGAGTTTCTCTCTGTTTTTCCCTTCTCTTCATATCTCTTTTGTCTCTTGCTTTTTGTCTCTTGCTCTTTCTCTCTGTCTCTTTCTCCTCATCTCTCCCTCTATTTCTCCCTTCCTTCCCTGTCTCACTATGCGTCTCCTGCTCTCTTTCTTTCACCACTATTCCCTCATGCCCTCAACCCCACCTACCCACCATGATTTCCCTCCAGCCCCACTGCCCCCTACTCCTGCACCTCACACCTTGGTGAGTCCAGGACTGCCCACTCCTCCTATGGCAGGGGCCCAGCCCCCTTACCCCCAGTTATCACTCTCCGGACAGAGATAAAGTTTATCTCGAGGCTGGGGGATATGAAAGCTCCTTATCAGCTGCCCCACTAGAGTAAGTGTTGCCCCAACGGCAGCAGCAGGCAGCAGCCAGCACCCTCCACTCTCCCTCGGCCCCAGCCCCTCACCCCAGGTAACATCCCAATCCCAGCCCTCAAGGGAGGGTCTCATGGGGCTAAAGGGAGCAGATATAGGGTCTAGGGGGCAGATATGGGGCTTGCGGGGAGATAGAGGTAGAGTTTGAGGGTCAGACATAGGGTTGAGTCAGAGAAAGGTTTGGGGTGTAGCCATTGAGTTTTGGGGGAGGCAGATATGGGGTTTTGTGGAGCAGAGATGAGCTTGGAAGTTCAGAGACACATTTTGGGCTCAGGAATACGTTGTGAAAACAGACAAGGTTGGGGAATCAGAGGTGAAGTTTGAGATACAGAAATGAAGTTGAGAAGTTAGAGATGTAGTGTGGAAGTCAGATTCTGAGGGTCATAGAAAAGTCTGGGGAGTTCAAGGGTTTTCTGGAGCAGAGATGGAGTTTAGGAGTCAAAGATCTATTTGGGCAGAGAGAAATGTAGCTAGTGATTAAAGGGGAGTTTGCGAAGCCAAGATAGAATTGGAGTAGAGAAAGGCTTGGAGCTGGAGAGATTCCGGGAGACACAGACATATTTTAGGGCTGAGATAGGGTTTTGGGGAAGGCAGACATGAGGGTTCATGCGGCAGAACAGATTTTGGGTAGTCAACTTTGTGTTTGGAGTGACAAAGATATTTTACTGAGCAGGCAGGGAGTTGGGAGAGATAAATGGTTTGGGGAGATCAGAGAGAAGTCTCAGGGAACAAAGAGTAGTTTGAGAGGCAGAGATAGGGGTAAGAGGATGGAGCTAGGATTTGGTGGGTCAGAGACAGGTTTAGGGGCTCAGAGAGAGTGGGACAGAGACAAGGGTGTTATAGAGCGGTTAAGGGGTTTGGGAGCAGAAAAGTGAGGTTTGGGGGAGAAGTCAGGGAGACAGAGACAAGTTTGGGTGAATGGAAATCAGATATGGGACAGGGAAAGGATTTGGGGGGATGAATGCATGTTTTGGGAAGCAGAGTTAATGTTTAGGGGAGACAGACCTAGGGGTATAGAGAGCGAAGTGAAGGGATCCAGGGGATATAGATATCTTCGAAGGAATGGATGAGAGGGCAGAAAGAGGTGGGATTTAGGGGGTAGATTTGGGGTAGAAATGGGAGTTGGAAAGACAGGTGGGTCTAAGGAGCTGTGAAGGGATTCAGGGCTGGCTGACACTTTGGGGACCAGCTGTGGGTTGGGGAGCCTGGAGCAAGCTGGGGGGCGGGTAGCCATAAGGATAGGGGCAGCAGGCCCAGGGTTGCCTTTCTGGGGGCTCTCTGGGGGCTGAGACTGACCTGGGCTGGTTGGTGCGGAGGGTTCAGCCGCCTTGGGGATGTGGCAAGCTCAGTGTGATCCCAGGGGGTGTCCTGGCTGGCCTTGGCCTTTGAGGCTCCCTTCCTCCCTCCCTCCCCTTTCCCTCCCCCCTCCTCCCCAGGGAGTGGCTGGTGCCCCAGTGGGTGGGGCAGTCCAGGGGAGGGGGTGGGTCCCCTGCTTGTGGGGCACTTCTTGGGCACTGGAGGCCCTCTTCCACCCTCCCTGCCCACCCTGGGGATTCTTGGACCCAGCTCGACCTAGGCTCTCATGGACTGTAGTGTTCAGACAAGCAAAATGCACTGAAACCAAGATAAATGAAAATAGCTGATATGGTTTCATGACTTTACTGGGCTTTTCAGTGAATAAAGCCTTTACTGTGTGCGGGGCTGGTGTGGGCTGGGCTCCTATGTATGTGAGTCCTCCTGGCTGCAGGGAGAGAAGGGATGTGGCTGTACCCATTTTGCAGGTGAGAAGAGTGAGGCTGCAAGAGGTTCTGCTGGATTTGGACTAGAGCCTGTGGGATATCTTGACCCAGCCTAAGCCTGCAGGCCAGGCCAGAGCTGGCAGGAGGAAGGGGCACACTCTCTCAGTGCCCCACTGGGGCTTACGCCAGCTCCGGCCTGCCTTGGGGCAGCAGATAAGTCTTATCAGATGTAGGCGACCGTGGCTGTTGGCGCCGCAGTAACAGGCCGTCTTGGGGCAAGGGTGCGGGGTGTGGGGGTGGGAACACCCAGAGACAGTGGCCTCAACTTCTTGCCCGCCATGCTGCCTTGGAGGCGGGAAACTGAGGTGGAAGCCAGGGATGATTCTTCAAGGAGTGGGATAGGGTGGGGAAAGAAAGGGATAGAGTGGGAGAGACAGACAGGCAGAGAGACAGAGACAAAAATAGAGATAGGCGGACAGAGATGGAAGTGGGGAGAAAGAGAGTGACAGAGATAAACAGAGAAGGAGACAGAGGTGGAAGGAAGTAGAGAGAGGGTACAGAAGGAAAGGAGAGACAAAGAGGGCAAGACACCCGGGGAGAACCAGAGACCATTAAAGACAGATAGAGAGAGGCAAAGAGAGAACGAGAGAGAGATGTATGGAAGTGACAGAAAAAACCTGAGAGGGAAAGAAGCCAAAGACGCAAGTGGAGAACTGAGAAGGGAGACAGACACAGAGAGATATTCAGAGACAGACTCAGAGGAAGTTCATGAGACTTCAGGTGGCAGACTGGATTACACCCTGGGCAGGTGGTGTCCATGCAGGTGGGATGAGGGGGTGTGGATCGATGTAGCCTGTGGCTCTGCCTTCAGCCCTCAGCAAGGGACCACTAGAATATTGCTGGGCCTCTGCACCCCAGACCCCATACTCCTGCCCTGCTCCACCTCCTCCAAATATTAATGACTACAACCACAGTGTCTCACAGACCTGTACCTAACCTGTTCTGAGCACTTTTTCCATATGAAATCATCTGACACACATGCACACAGTAGGTGTACAACTTGGGTCCCCAACACGGCAGAGAGTAAGACTCCCCAGTCATGGTTCTGGAATTCCATGGGACAAGGAGCTCTCCTGCCCATGTGGTCTACAGATGGGGAGACTGAGACCTACAAAGAGGGCAAGGATGGAGCCTGGGTCAGTGGGGTTGGCTCGCCCACTGGCCCAACCTGGAGGCAGCTTACCATTCTCATCTCACTCCTCTGAGCCTCAGTGTCCTCATATGCAAAATGGGAGCTTTGAGGAGGAAAGAGAGCAAGCCCACGAATTCCTATTTATTTAGCTCCTTCTGTATGCCACACCCCATGATGAGCCCTCATCAGTAATAAGGAGAATGACTACAAAGACACCTCTGACTTATGTGGCAGTGGTTTCAGGACATGGACTCTAGAGCCAGCTCATCCTTGTTCATAGACTGCCCTAACCACTAACGGATCGGGTAACTTTGGGAGAATTACCATCCCCTCTGGAATTTAGCTCCTCACCTATAAAAATGGGGTAGTAATATACCCCAGTAAGCCACTCCATGTGGTGACTGGGGAGACTAAATGAGGTGTTTTTTTTGGTCTGTTTTTTAATTTTAATTTTTGTGTTGAGACTAAATGAGTTTTAACCCATGTTATGTGATTTTAACTCACTTGAATCTGAAATCTTAATACATATTAAGTATCCTTATTTATTTATTTATTGAATACCTACTGTATACAAGGGAGAATACACAGCCTTTCTAATTAAACCTACTATTGCTTACATTACTAATGCTAATAATTTGCTGACACCAAGAGTAATACCAATATTAATTGTAATATTGATACTCACCCCATTTCTTCATTTCTGAAGAGCACAAAGGGCTCAGGAAGAGAAGCCAAGGGTGAGAAATGGGGCACCCCATAGCCCTGCCTCCAGCAAGAGCTGGAAATCCCGAGGCTATGAGACCAGGCCACAAGAGTATCAATATTAGTAGTAATTAGTACTACTTACATTACTAATGCTAGTAATATGCTGACACCAAGAGTAATACCAATATTGTAATATTGATACTGGCACTAAGACTAATTTTATTTCTTTAAATTTATGATTGACACATAATAGTTGTACATATTTGTGGGGTAAAACATGATGTTTTGATACATGTATGCATTGTGATCAAATCAAGGTAATTAACATATTAATCACTTTAAACATTTTTCTTTGTGATGAGAATATTCGAAAGCATCTCTTCTAGCCATTTTGAAATATACATTAATCATTGACTCTAGTCATCGTACTATGCATGAGAACACCAGAACTTATGCCTCCTATTCAACTGTAGCTTTGTACCCATTGACAGCCTCTCCCCATCCCTCCCTACCTTCTACCCTCCCATCTGCTGGTAACCACTATTCTACTCTCTACTTCTATGAGGACATAGTAATTTTCACAGTAATAGTAATACTCATCTAATGCTAATACTAATCTGACGCTAATATTATTATTATTGCTAATACTAATTCTAAAACTATTATTCTAATTCTAACAACAATAGTGATAATAATACATACTGAATTTTTTTTGAGACAATGTCTCACTATGTCACTCAGGCTGAAGTGTAGTGACAGTCTTGGCTCACTGCAACCTCCATTTCTCGGGCTCAAGTGATCCTCCCACCTCAACCTCCTGAGTAGCTGGCACTTCAGGTGCATACCACCACACCCAGCAATTTTTTTTTTGTTGGTAGAGATGAGGTCTCGCTATATTGCCCAGGCTTGTCTAATTCTGATACTAATACTAGCGTTAATAGACTAATAATAGCAGCAGCATTATTTGCTGAGTGACCCCAGGCACTGTGCTAAGTGCCCTCTATCCATAATTCTATCACATTCTCACCGGCTCTTTGTGGTGCAAGTGTATGTAATCGCTCTAACCTTCCAGACTGGATCTACATAGGTGTGGGGAAATGAAGATTTTCCTCCAGGGCCCTGGGTTCTCTGACACTGATTTGCTGCATGATTCCTGGGCCAGATGCCCTCTGAGCCTCAGTTTCTTAATCTGGAAAGTGGGTACAGTCATAGCCCCCCACATGGATAGGAACCACTCAGCACAGGGCCTGCTGGTACACCATAAATTGTGTGCTCTGTAGGTTGGAATTATCATCGTCATCATCATTATTAGTAGAAGCAGCGGTTGCAATGTAGGGAAGTCTGTCCTCACAGGGAAGGGAAGGCTGGAGACATGTCTAAGATCTAAGACAAGGGTTTGGCGGCTGGACTCACCCCATTTCTTCATTTTTGGAGAGCACAAGGGGCTCAGGAAGAAAAGCCAAGGGCGAGGAGTGGGGTGCCCTAGAACCTTGCTTCCAGCAAGAGTTGGAAACCCCAAGACTATGAGTATGAGACCAGGCCTCACCCCATTCCCTCCCCCATCCCTGTGAAGGGGCGCAGGCTCAGAAGTCTGTGGCGACAGTTCAGCCAGCAAGGAGGCAGCTGGGAGTGGGCAGATAAGGGAATCAGCGGGGCCAGATCAGGCTTTGGGGGAGACAAGGGCGGGGGCGGGGGTGGGGTGTCCCGGCCTTGCGTCTTCTTGGTCAGGCCTAAGTTTGAGACTCATCTTCAATATCCTCTCTTCTCGGAAGCCTTCCCTAACTAGCTCACTCCCTCCTGGCATCTTCTGGGGCTCTAAAGCCCCTGCTTGGTCTAGGCCCCATGGCACTTGGACTGTTTGTGACTATTCTGCACTGTGGAGTCCACCAGGGTGGGGACAGAGCCTGATGGACTGCGGTATCAAAAGCACCAAGACAAATGTCAACCAAAGCCTGGCTAAGGAGTCAAGCATTTGCCCTCAGAACCAAACTGTTGGTTGATTTTTTTAAAAAAAACAAAGTATAAAGGGTGCTGTTACAAGCATCTACTTTTGTCAAACATTAATATTTTGCCTTATTGACTTCAGATTGTTTTTAAAATATATGCGATATTACAGATACTCTTGTACCAATTCCATTTCCCTCCCTCCTTCTACTGCCTTGAGCTTGGTGTTTATCTTCCTCATGAGTATTTTTACTCCATTGCTCCATATGTTGGTACCCATAAACACCATATGATACGCAGGGTTTTTTGGCCTGCTTTTGCACTTCACGGAAATGGAAGCACATCACACAGTATGTGCTGCTTTTGCTCAGCATAATGTCTGTGACATTATTCCACGTTGTCATGTGTATCAGTAGTTCATTCTTTTTTTTCTTTTTATTGAGATGTAATTCACGTATCATAAAAATTACTCTTTTTTTTTTTTTTTTTTTTTTTTTGTAAGGGGTTTTTCTTTTTTTACCCCGGCTGGGGTGGTATGGGGCGGTCGCGGCTGCCCGCAACCTCCGTCTCCTGGGTTCAGGCAATTCTCCTGCCTCAGCCTCCTGAGTCGCTGGGATTACAGGCACACGCCACCATGCCCAGCTAATTTTTTGTATTTTTAGTAGAGACGGGGTTTCACCATGTTGACCAGGATGGTCTTGATCTCTTGACCTCGTGATCCACCCGCCTCGGCCTCCCAAAGTGCTGGGATTACAGGCTTGAGCCACCGCGCCCGGCCCTATAAAAATTACTCTTAAAATGTACCATAAAGTGATTAGTATATTCACAAAGTTGTGCAACTACTCACTACCCAATTCCAGAACATTTTCATCACCTCCAAAAGGAACTCTGTACTTATTAACATTCACCCTCCCATTCCATTTCCCTCTCCCCCCATCCCCAGGCCATCACAAATCTCTTTGTCTCTATAAATTTGTCTGTTTGGACATTTCATATAAATGCAGTCATATAATATGTGGCCTTTTGTAACTGCCTTCTTTTACTTCACATAAAATTTTTAAGGTTCATTCATGTTGTAGCATGTATGAGTACTTCATTCCTTTTTCATGACTGAATAATATTCCATTGTATGAAAATACCTACCACATTATAGGTTGAATGCAGTGGCTCAGGCCTATAATCCCAGCACTTTGTGAGGTTGCAGTGGGTGGATTGCTTGAGCCCAGGAGTTTGAGACCAGCCTGGGAAGCATAACAAGAATACATGTCTACAAAAAAGAAAAATTAGCCGGGTGTGGTGGTGCACGCCTGTGGTCCCAGCTACTTGGAAGGCTCAGGTGGGAGGATCATTTGAGCCCAGGAAGTTGAGGCTGCAGTGAGCCATGATTGCACCACTGCACTCCAGCCTGAGCAACAGAGCGAGACGCTGTCTGAAAACATAAAAGGAAAAAAAGAAATACCACATTATGCTTATCCATTTATCCACTGATGGACTCTTGGCTATCATGAAAAATGCTGCTATGAACATTCATGTGAAAGCTTTTATGTGGACATATGTTTTTCATTTTCTTGGGTATACAACTAGGAATGGAATTGCAGGGTGATATGGTAATTCTGTGTTTAACTTTCTGAGGAACTGCAAGTGTTCTCCACAGCTGCTGTACGAGGGTTCAAATTTAAACACATTCTTTCCAACACTTGTCTTTCTTTTTCTTTTTCTCTTTCTTTCTTTTTCTTTCTCTCTCTCTTTCTTTCTTTCTCTCTCTCTTTCTTTCTGTCTCTCTTTTTCAGGGTCTCACTTTGTTGCCCAGGCTGCAGTGCACTGGCATGATCTCAGCTCACTGCAGCCTCAACCTCCTCGGTTCCGGTGATTCACCTCAACCTCCTGAGTAGCTGGGACTACAAGCACATACCATCACACCCAACTAAATTTTTGTATTTTTTTGTAGAGATGGGGTTTTCACTATGTTGCCTACAGTCTCGAACTACTGGGCTCAAGCAATCTGCCTGCCTTGGCCTTGCAAAGTGCTGGGATTACAGGCCACCATGCCCAGCCTCCAAAACTTTTTTTGTCCCTCTTTTTGATTCTAGCCATCCTACTGGGTGTGAAGTGGTATCTCGTTATGGTTTTGATTTACATTTCCGTGTGACCACTGATGTTGAGCATCTTTTCATAAACCTGTCGGCCATTTATCATCTTCTTCTTCTTCTTTTTTTTGAGACTGAGTCTCGCTCTGTAGCCCAGGCTGGAGTGCAGTGGCGCTATCTCAGCTCCCTGCAACCTCTGCCTCCTGGGTCCCGGTTCAAGCAATTCTCCTGCCTCAGCCTCCCAAGTAGCTGTGATTATAGGAACGCGCCACCATACCCAGCTAATTTTTGTATTTTTAGTAGAGACAGGGTTTCACTATGTTGGCCAGGCTGGTCTTGAATTCCTGACCTCGTGATCCGCCCACCTTGGCCTCCCAAAGTGCTGGGATTACAGGTGTGAGCCACTGCACCTGGCCTTTTTATTTTTATTTTTATTTTTGGCACGCAGTCTCACTCTGTCACCCAGGCTGGAGTGCAGTGGCATGATCTTGGCTCACTGCAGCCTCTGCCTCCCAGGTTCAAGCAATCATCCTGCTTCAGTCTCCTGAGTAGTAGGGATTACAGGCGCCCGCCCCCACGCCTAGCTAATTTTTGTATTATTAGGAGAGATGGGGTTTCACCATGTTGGCCAGGATGGTCTCAAACTTCTGACCACAAGTGATCCATTCGCCTCAGCCTCTCAAATTTCAGGGATTACCGGCGTTAGCCACCACACCCGTCCCATTTGTCTTCTTTGGAGAAATGTTTATTTAAATCCTTTGCCCATTTTGAATTGGGTTATTTGCCCTTTTATTGTTGAGTAGTAAGAGTTCTTTATGTTTTCTGGGTACTAGACTCTTTACAGATATGTGATTTTCAAATACTGTCTTCCGTAGATTGTCTTTTCACTTTGTTAAGAGTGTCCTTTGAAGCATGAAAGCTTCCAGGGTTTTTTTTTTTTTTTTTTTTGACAGGGTTTTACTTTGTCACCCAGGCTGGAGTGCAGTGGCGTGAACGTGGCTCACTGAGGCCTCAACCTCCCAGGCCCAAGCGATCCAACTGCCCCAGTCTCTGAAGTAGCTGGGACTACAGGTGCACGTGGCACCATGCTTGGCTAATTTTTGTGTTTTTTGCAGAGATGGGGTTTCACCATGTTGCCAGGGCTGGTCTTGAACTCCTGAGCTCAAGCAATCCACTCACCTCAGCCTCGTAAACTGCTGAGATTACAGGCGTGAGCCACTGTGTCTGGCCAGAAAGCTTATAGTTTTGATGAACTCCAATGTATCTAGTTTTTCTTTGGCTGCTTATGCTTTAGATGTCACGTCTAAGAAACCATTGCCTAATCCAAGGTGACAAAGACTTATGCCTGTTTTCTTCTAAAGCAGCAGTCCCCAACCTTTTTGGCACCAGGGACCAGTTTCTTGAAAGACATATTTTCCACAGAAGGGGGGATGTTTTCAGGATGATTCAAGCACATTACTCTTATCATTAGAGTCCCATAAGGAGCGCACAACCTAGATCCCTCTCATGTGTAGTTCACAATAGGGTTTGAGCTTCTAAGAGGATCTGTTGCTGCAGCTGATTTGACAGGAGGTGGGGCTCAGCAAGCCACAGCTCACCTCCTTCTGTATGGCCCAGTTCCTGACAGACCACAGATGGGTACTGGTCTGTGGCCTGGGGGTTGAGGACCCCCATTTTTTTTTTAGCTGCAAGGAGGACTGCATGGGACCCCTGTTCTAAAAGTTTTGTGGTTTTAGCTCTAACATTTAGGTCTTTGATCTGTTTGGAGTTCTTGTTTGTAAATGGTGTATGGAAGGGGTCCCACTTTATTCTTTTTCATGTGGTTACTCAGCTGTCAGCACCATTTGTTGAAAGAAGCATTCTTTCCCTATTAAATGGTCTTGGTACACTTGTCAAAAATCAATTGCTGGCTGGACATGGTGGCTCACTTAAAATCCCATAATTTGGGAGGCCAAAATGGGAAGATCACTTGAACCTAGAAGTTCAGCTTGTGCAACCCTGTCTTTACAAAAAGATTTTTTAAAAATAAGCTGAGCATTGGCCAGGCATGGTGACTTATGCTTGTAATCACAGCACTTTGGGAGGCCGAGGTGGGCAGATCACCTGAGGTCAGGAGTTCGAGACCAGCATTGCCAACATGGTGAAACCGTGTCTCTACTAAAAATACAAAAATTAGCTGGGCATGGTGGTACATACCTGTAATCCCAGCTACTCAGGTGCATGCCTGTAATCCCAGCTACTGAGGCAGGAGAATTGCTAGAACTCAGGAGGCAGAGGTTACAGTGAGCCGAAATCAAGCCATTGCACTGCCGGCTGGGTGACAGAACAAGACTCTGTCTCAAAAAAAAAAAAAAAAAAAAAAAAATTAGCTGAGCATGGTGGTGCATGCCTGTAGTCCCAGCTACTTGGGAAGCTGAGGTGGGAGGATTGCTTAGCCCAGGAGTTTGAGGCTACAGTGGGCTGTGTTTGTGCCTGGGCAACAGAGCAAGTCCCTGTCTCTTCTGTTCCTAGTTTGTAGAGTGTTTTTATCATGAAGTGTTAAATGTTGTCAAATGTTTTTTCAGCATCTCCGGAAAAGATCATGTGGTGTTTGTCTTTTATTATATTAATATGATGCATTATATCAATTGATTTTCATTAGTTGACCAAACCTCGCATTCTTGGGATAAATCTTACTTGGCAGTGGTGTATAATCCTTTTATGTGTTTCTAGAGTCTACTTACTTGCATTTTATTGAGGATTTTTGCATCTATAGTTATAACAGATATTGCTCTGCAGTTTTCTTGTGATGTCTTTTTTTTTTTTTTTTTTTGAGACGGAGTTTCACTCATGTTACCCAGGCTGGAGTGCAATGGCGCGATCTCGGCTCACCGCAACCTCCGCCTCCTGGGTTCAGGCAATTCTCGTGCCTCAGCCTCCTGAGTAGCTGGGATTACAGGCACGCGCCACCATGCCCAGCTAATTTTTTGTATTTTTAGTAGAGACGGGATTTCACCATGTTGACCAGGATGGTCTCGATCTCTTGACCTCATGATCCGCCCACCTCGGCCTCCCAAAGTGCTGGGATTACAGGCTTGAGCCACCGCGCCCGGCCTCTTGTGATGTCTTTGTCTAGTTTTCTCATCAGAATAATGCTAGCCTCATAAGTTTGTTCCCTTTTATTGAAAGTAATATTCCATGGAACGGATATACCATATTTTGTTTAACCACTCATCTGTTGGTGAACATTTGCATTGTTTCTAGTTTCTTTCCCTAGTATAGGCAAAGTTGCAATTTATAAACTCATATTCCTCTGCACACCTGTGAAGGAGTTTCTTGGGGGAAGGAGGGAGGAAATATCAGAGCATCTACCCATTCATTCAACCACCTACCCACTCACCCATCCACCCATCTGTTCCTTCTTTCCTTCCTCTATTCCTTCATTTCCTCTTTCCTTTCATTCATAAATCATTTGTCTCCAGGCATATAATTTCTGGGTCCATGCCAAATTGTCTTTTAGAATGGGGTGGAAAACCTGGTTGGGCATGGTGGCTCATGCCTGTAATCCCAGCACTTTGGGAGGCCAAGGTGGGAGGATCACTTGACCCCAGGAGGTCCAAGCCAGCCTGGGCAACATAGCGAGACCCTGTTTCTAAAAAAAATTTAAAAATTTGCTGGGCATGGTGGCAGGCACCTGTAGTCCCAGCTACTCAGGAGGCTGAGGTGGTAGGATCATTTGAGCCTGGGAGATCAAGGCTGCAGTGAGCCAAGATTACGCCACTGCTCTGCAGCCTAGGAGACAGAGCCAGACCCTGTCTCAAAAAAAAAAAAAAAAAAAAAAGAAAACCTGCTACAGTTTTTGTTTCTTTCCTCCCCTCCCCTCCCCTCCCCTCCCCTCTCCCCTCCCCTCTTTTCCACTGTCAGAAAATGCTACAGGTTTTGGGAAAGCCTTTTAAGTGCTAAAACTGACATCCTCACATTCCCTCTATTCCCAGCACTTTTGGGGCTCCCTGGCAGTTCATTCACAGGGTCTGGCTGAACCACTCTCTGAGGACTGTTTAGTGACCAAAGTCCAGAAGACCAGGGACTCCTTTACTTCAAGAAAATCTCATGCATGCTCCTCCATCCATCACTCCTTCACTCAGGAATCTGCACACTTCCATTCCCACTTGCTCGACTCATCTGCCTGTCCCTTCTTTTGTTTTAGAACCCAAAGGTTTTCAGGCCTCTTCTCTAGCTGACATCCTCTTTTGTGGTGAACTCATCCAGTCTGTATCTTCAAAATAGCTCCAGAATCTAACCATTTAAAAAATCACTTCCTGGCTGGGTGCGGGGGCTCATGCCTGTAGTCCCAGCACTTTGGGAGGCTGAGGCATGAGGATCTCTTGAGGCCAGGAGTTCGACACCAGCCTGAACAACACAGCGAGACACCAACTCTACCAAAAAAAAAAAAAACCCAAACAAATAAAAATCACTTCCCCTGTCTCCATCACCACACTTGCATGGACCACTGCAGTGGCCTCCCACTCACTGGTTGCCTGTTTCCACCCTTGCCCTGACAGTCTATTTTCCATGCAGCGGCCAGAGGGAGCCTGTTAAGTCCTAAATCATATCACATCCCTCCTCTGCCCACAATCCTCCTTCAGTTTCCTGTCACTCAGAGTAAAACCCAAAGTCCTCGCTCTGGCCTGCAAGACCCCGCCCATCTATACCCCTTGCTCCTCGCCACTGGCCTTCTTGCTGTTCCTCACACGCACCAGCCACATTCATGCCTCAGGGCCTTTGCACTGGCTGATGTCTCTGCCTGGTGTGCTCTTCCTCCGCTGGCTAGCTGTGTGGCTCACTCCCTTATCTCTTCACATCTGTGCTCAAGACCCTTCTAAGTCACACTTTCCGGGACCACCTCATTAGACATCAGAAGCTGCCCCAGCAATTTTTGTTTTTAAGACAGAATCTTGGCTGGGTGCGGTGGCTCACGCCTGTAATCCCAGCACTTTGGGAGGCCAAGGCGGGTGGATCACAAGGTCAGGAGATAGGGATCATCCTGGCTAATATGGTGAAACCCTGTCTCTACTAAAAATACAAACTGTAGCCGGGTGTGGTGGCACGCACCTGTAATTCCAGCTATTTGGGAGGCTGAGGCAGGAGAACCGCTTGAACCTGGGAGGCAGAGGTTGCAGTGAGCTGAGATCATGCTGCTGCACTCCAGCCTGAACCACTTCATCTCAAAAAAAAAAAAAAAAAAAAATACGGTCTCGCTCTGTCACCCAGACAGGAGTGCCGTGGCGTGATATCAACTCACTGCAACCTCCGCCTCCTGGATTCAAGCAATTCTGGTGCCTCAGCCTCCCAAGTAGCTGGGACTGCAGGCATGTGCCACCATACCTGGCTAATTTTTGTATTTTTAGCAGAGACAGGGTTTTGTCATGTTGGCCAGGCTGGTCTCAAACTCCTAACTTCAGTGATCTGCTTGCCTTGGCCTCCTAAAGTGCTGGGATTACAGGCGTGAGCCACTGTGCCCAGCCTGCCCCAAATATTTTTATCTGCATTCCCTCTTTTCTGTGTTTTCTTTTTCTCCATAGCATTTATCAGCCTGTAACATACTTAATATTTTACCTACTTAATTTTATTCATTTTCTATCTGCCCCACTAGAATGGCAACTCCACAAACAGAGATATGCTTATCTCTTTTGTTCAATGATGTCTCTCCAGTGCTTGGAACAGGGCCTGGCACACAGTAGGTACTCAACATTCGTATTTTAGTTGACTGAATGGTGGAGGGGAACAGAAAGAGAGGAAATTTGACCTTGTCCTGCTTACTCTGCCATGAGCTATGCCTCAATTGAGATGATTTGGCTAATTTATGTATTAATTTATTTTGTGTGGAAAAGGGGGTGTCTCACTATGTTGCCCAGGCTGGTCTCGAACTCTTTGACCTACTAGATCCAAAGGTAGAAAGTGCTAAATATCCCGGGAGTGAGACTAGAGAAGGCTCTCTGGGAAGTGGTAGTATCGTTTGGGGCTGATCCTGGAAGGTCTGATGGGAATGAGAGATCCTGGGAGTTTCTGAGGCCCAGGAATGGAGGAAGCAGCAGGCAGAAGCTGGAAGAGTGAGGTGAGTTAGGAAAGGACGAAGATGATGGCGTCACTGACAAGGAGAAGTCTGTCAGGGGCCTTGAATCCCAAGGGGACGACCCCTAGATCTGGCGCTCGGAGTTGTCATACTCTGGTCATAGACCTCCGACCCAACAGCTCAGGGATCTCACACCCTAGATAAACACCCATGCGTGGCGCTGATACAATAGCAAAGACCCTGTATTCGTTGAGAGGTTATGCATTTATTAGGCCAGCTTGGATGACATACAGATATGGAGGTCTGATCTCAAACCTATCTTGGGTCCCCCCTCATCAGGATGTGTGAAGTGCCTAAGTCCTCAGTCCTCAGAGGCCTCTGGGTCTGGGTGGGGGTTTGCAGGAAGGAAAGGAGAAGGTGATATCGAGGGGGACAAAATGGAGGAGGTCGAGCTTCCATCACGAGGAGATGTAGTTGGACACCTCAATCAGATTTCTGTCAGGGTCTCGGAAGTAGATGGACATAATAGGCCCTTTTGCCCCTGTTCTGGGAACTGGCCCCTCCTCAATAGGGACACCACAAGTCTGAGGTGGAAAGAAAAGACAAAAGTCATTCATCAAAATCTGTGTATGACACCAAAATTTAATTCCATTTTTTTTTTTTTGAGACAGAGTCTCACTCTGTCACCTAGGCTGGAGTGCAGTGGTGAGACCTCAGCTCACTGCAATCTCTGCTGCCTCCCGGGCTCAAGCAATTCTCCCACCTCACCCTCCTGAATAGCTTGGGATTACAGGCGCATGCCACCATTCCCAGATATATATATATTTTTTTGAGACGGAGTTTCGCTCTTGTTACCCAGGCTGGAGTGCAATGGCGCGATCTCGGCTCACCGCAACCTCCGCCTCCTGGGTTCAAGCAATTCTCCTACCTCAGCCTCCTGCGTAGCTGGGATTACAGGCACGCGCCACCATGCCCAGCTAATTTTTTGTAGTTTTAGTAGAGATGGGGTTTCACCGTGTTGACCAGGATGGTCTCGATCACTTGACCTCGTGATCCACCCGCCTCGGCCTCCCAGAGTGCTGGGATTACAGGCGTGAGCCACCGCGCCCAGCTGCCCAGATATTTTTTGCATTTTTTGTAGAGACGAGGTCTTGCTATGCTGCCCAGGCTGGTCTTGAACTCTTGACCTCAAGTGATCCGCCCACCTCGGCCTCCCAAAGGGCTGGAATTACAGGTGTGAGCCACTGAGCCTGGCCTGTAAAATTTAATTCCTTATAGTGACCTAGAAGACCCTGGTACACCCCTGTATCTTTCTTTCTTTTTATTTATTTGTTTATTTTTGGAGACTGAGTCTCACTCTGTCACCCAGGCTGGAGTGCAGTGGTGCAATCTCAGCTCACTGCAAACTTGGCCTCCCAGGTTCAAGTGATTCTCCTGCCTCGGGCTCTTGAGTAGCTGGGATTACAGGCATGTGCCACCACGCCTGTCTAATTTTTTTGTATTTTTAGTAGAGACAAGGTTTCACCATGTTGGCTAGGCTGGTCTTGAACTCCTGACCTCAGGTGATCCACCTGCCTCGGCCTCCCAAAGTGCTGGGATTATGGGTGTGAGCCACCACGCCCAGCCTATTTTATTTTTATTTTTTTGAGACGGAGTCTCGCTCTGTCACCAGGCTGGAGTGCAGTGTCGTGATCTCAAGTCACTGCAACCTCTGCTTCCCGGGTTCAGGTGATTCTCCTGCCTCAGCCTCCCAAGTAGCTGGGATTACAGGTACACACCACCATGCCCAGGTGATTTTTTAATTTTTAGTAGAGACAGGGTTTCACCATGTTGGCCAGGCTGGTCTCAAACTCCTGACCTCGGGTGATCCACCTGCCTCGGCCTCCCAAAGTGCTGAGATTACAGGCGTGAGCCACTGCGCCCCGGCCCCGCCCCTGTATCTTTCTGACCTCAATCTCCTACCATCCTTCCCTCCCTCACCCTGTTCCAGACACTTATCAGCTAGATGGCCTTGGGCATAGTACCTAAATACCTTGTACCTCGGCCTCCTCATTTGTAAAATGGGAAGGATAATAGTACCTAGTATTATCTAGTAAGTGGCAGAACTAGAATTCGAACCCAGGCAGTCTAGGTCAAAGACCATAACTCTTAACCCCTATGCTTCACCCATTTTACTTCCAAGCCAGTCTTTTTCACTGAGACTTCCCAAAGAAGGAGTCTAGGTTATTTGCACAGAATATATACAAGACCTTGATTCGTGTTCTGCAAAAGGGAAACTAATGCCCCTCTTATTTATTTATTTATTTATTTATTTATTGTAGAGATAGAGTATTACTCCGTCACCCAGACTGGAATGCAGTGGCACGACCACAGTTCACTAAATCCTCAACCTCCTGGGCTCGAGCAATCCTCCCACCTCTTAGCCTCCCAAGTAGCTGAGCCTACAGGCACACACTGCCACTCCCAGCTAATTTTTTTGTATTTTATGTAGACACAGGGTCTCGCCATGTTACCCAGGCCGGTCTCAAATTTCTGTGTTCAAGTGATCCTCCCTCCTTGGCCCCCTAAAGCACTGGGATTACAGGCGTGAGCCACCACACACCCGGCCTTATTTTAACTTTTAGAGACAGGGCCTTGATGTATCACCCAGGCTGGAGTGCAGTGGCATGATCATAGCTCACTGCAGCCTCAACCTCCTGGGCTCAAGTGATCCTCCCACTTCGCCCTCTTGAGTAGCTAGGATTACAGGCATGCACTACCACGCCTGGCTAATTTTTTATTTTTTGTAGAGATGGGGGGTCTCACTATGTTACCCAGGCTGGTCTGGAACTCCTGGCCCAAATGATCTTCCCACCTCACCCTCCCAAAGTGCTAGAATTACAGGCATGAGCCACCATGCCCAGCCAATGTCCCTTCTAGATGACATCATTTTAAGTATTACAGAGACACTGGATTCAATATCAGCAAATCAGAAATTATTCCCTCTTCAATCTTCTCTCAATCCTTCTGATTATACAAAGAAAGTGGATGCTAACAAGTCCTTAGTATCTTTTTAACCACCTGCCATATCTCCCTTTGTAATGTCAGGGTCAGGGAGTACAGGGAACGGAAGTGGCTAGAATCTAATGACATTGTTATGGTTTTATAGCTGCTGGATTTTACAGTCACTTTTCCTTTATGCCAAGATATGAGTTTTTCATGTACTTGGATGAACATTTGCTTTTTATACAAATGTATTTAGGGCTGGGCACAGTGGCTCATGCCTGTAATGCCAGCACTTTGGGAGGCCAAGGCAGGCAGATCACTTGAGGTTAGGAGTTTGAGTCCAGCTTGGCCAACATGGCGAAACTCCGACTCTACTAAAACTACAAAAATTAGCCAGGCGTGGTGGTGCACGTCTGTAGTCTCAGCTACTTGGGAGGCTGAGGCAGGAGAATCGCTTGAACCCAAGAGGTGGAGGTTGCAGTGAGCCGAGATTGCTGCATTGCACTCCAGCCTGGGCAACAGAGCAAGACCCCATCTCAAAAAAAAAAAAGGTATTTAAGTGTATTTTTTTTTTTTTTTTTTTTTTTTAAAAACAAGGGGAATGCATAGTTTCCTTTTCAAATACAATTATGTACATGAAAAATCATGTCAATCAAAATAGTACATAACTGTGTGCAGGCATTTATCTGCATGTGGTGGAACCTGTTACCTCTCTGGGTCATGCTTCTCTTTTCACTGTGTTTGCAGCAGCTTTTGCAAAAAGAAGGGAAGTCCCACTCACCTTGAGGTGCTGGATCATTTCATCCACAGGCACCTCTGTGATCAGACATATGTCCAGGGAGCCAGGAACTGGGTGAGCAGCTTTGGGTTCAAATTCCTTTCCCACCTCGTGGAGGTTAAATTTCTGGTCTCCAAAACACAGTGCTTTCCGGTCTTCCTACTTGGCGGGGAGGGGTGGAGAAAACAGCCTGGAATTAAACCTCCAAGATGAGTGTGAGACGAAGCCTTTCCACCTATCCCAACAAGGTTAAAAAAAAAAAAACAAAAAAATAGAATGGAGCTACTACACAACAGCCCTTCGCCCCACCCAAGTCTCATTCCCTAGAGGCAAGTGTATGAGTTTATTTCTCTTTGAAATTATTTTCATATCTCCAAATATTGTTTTTACCAACAAAGGCAAAGATAGCAATTTGCCTACCCAGTATACATTTCCCCTTTATTTCTTATAAACACAATAGAAATTTCAGTGGGGTGGACTGCATGCCCAACTTTAAAAACCTACATTTCGGCTGGGCGCAGTGGCTCACGCCTGTAATCCCAGCACTTTGGGAGGCCAAGGCGGGCAGATCACCTGAGGTCAGGAGTTCGAGATCAGTCTGACCAACATGGAGAAACACTGTCTCTGCTAACAACACAAAATTAGCCAGGCGTGGTGGCACATGCCTGTAATCCCAGCTACTCGGGAGGCTAGGCAGGAGAATCGCTTGAACTAGGGAGGTGGAGGTTGCGGTGAGCTGAGATAGCACCATTACACTCCGGCCTATGCAACAAGAATGAAACTCCGTCTCAAACAAAACAAAACAAAACAAAAACCCTACGTTTCCCAGAACCTCCAGAGGCCACGTTAGCTGGACTGGGCAATGAGATGAGGGCAGAGGTATGGGTGGGGCTTCCGGGAACCTCCCTGCCCACTGCATTGGTCCATTTTGCCCATTCACTTCCTCTTTCTTCCCAGCCACTGCCCGTGACCAGACTAACTACCTCTGGACTGGTTGTTCAATGAGAGGAAAAGAAAACTCTGTTTTGTTTAACCCACAGTTAGTTGAGTTTTCTCCTATATGCCTCCAAACAAAGTCCCTAACCCTTCACTTTTCTCCCTTTCCTCTTTCTCTTTTCTTCTCTTCCTTTCCTTTTCTTTCTTCTTTCTCCATGTTGGTCAGGCTGGTCTCGAACTCCCGATCTCTGGTGATCCACCCACCTCAGCCTCCCAAAGTGTTGGGATTACAGGCATGAGCCACCGTACCTGTTCCCTCTTTCTTTTCTTTTAGACAGAGTCTTGCCTCTGTTGCCCAGGCTGGAGTGCAGTGGTGCAATTTCAGCTCACTGCAACTTCCGCCTCCCAGGTTCAGGCAATTCTCATGCCTCAGCCTCCAGAGTAGCTGGTACTACAGGCGCATGCCACCATGCCCAGCTAATTTTTATGTCTTTAGTAGAGATGGGGTTTTGCCATGTTGGCCAGGCTGGTCTTGAACTCTTGACCTCAGGTGATCTGGTGATCTGCCCGCCTCAGCTACCCAAAGTGCTGGGATTACAGGTGTAAGCCACTGTGCCCAGCCTCTTTTTTTTTTTTTTTTTTTTTTTTAGACAGAGTCTTTTCAGATATAGACTCATGAAAAAGATGAAAAAAAAAAAAAAAAGAGAGAGACAGAGTCTCACTGTGTTGCCCAGGCTTCAGTGAAGTGATCATGGCTCACTGCAGCCTCAACCTCCCAGGTTCAAGTGATCCTGCAACCTCAGCCTCTGAGTAGCTGGGACCACAGGCACACCCCATCATGCCTGGCTAATTTTTTATTTTATTTTTTGTAGAGACCGGGTCTCCCCGTGTTGCCCAGGCTGGTCTCAAATCCTGGCTCAAGCAATCCCCATCTCAGCCTCCCAAAGTGCTGTGATTACACGTGTGAGCCAGTGTGCCTCACTGCACCACTATTTCTTGATTTAGCAACTTGAGATATTTCCTATCATCTCCCTGCTATGATAAATGAGAATTTAGCTCATTCACATTACTATCCCTTCCAACACAATTTGATCATCATTTTTAGTTTTTCTTTTAGCTCCTTTACAATTTTTAAATAAGCCACTTGCATGTTTATTTTGTTTATTTATTTAAATTTTTTAAGAGACAGAGTCTCATTCTATTGCCCATGCTGGAATACAGTGGTGCAATCACAGCTCACTACAGCCTTGACCTCCTGGCCTCAAGCAATGCTCCTGCCTTAGCCTCCTGAGTAGCTGGGATTACAGGTGCGCACCACCATGTCTGGCTAATTATAAAACTTTTTTTTTTTTTGTAGCGATGATAGTCTCAGTATGTTACCCAGGCTGGACTCCAGCTCCTGAGCTCAAGTGGTCCTCCTGCTTCATCCTCTCAAAGTGTTGGGATTGCAGGCGTGAGCCACTGCGCCTGGCTGCAAGTTTATTTTCGTAGATAAACTACAGATTAACTCACAGCCCTGCCATGTTCTTCATGGCTCCTCCCTCTTCTGGACCTCTCAACATGTGCCATTTCTTTTATACTTTTTCTATCTCTTTCTTTATATCACTATCACATCCATTCAATCAGAAAATGATTTTATTTCACTTTTTTTTTTTTTTTTTTTGAGACAGAGTCTCCCTTTGTTACCCAGGCTGGAGTGCAGTGGCATGATCTTGGCTCACTGCGACTTCTGCCCTCAGGGTTCAAGTGATTAGCCTGCCTCAGCCTACCGAGTAGCTGGGACTACGGGTGCACGCCACCACTCCTGGCTAATTTCTGTATTTTTAGTAGAGACAGGGCTTCAGCATGTTGTCCAGGCTGGTCTCGAACTCTTGATCTCAAGTGATCCACCCATCTCAGCCTCCCAAAGTGCTGGGATTACAGGTGTGAGCCACCGCGCCCAGCCGACTTTATTTCACTTTTAGACTCGAAGATAGTTTGGCTCAGTGTACAATTGTAGGTTGCAGCTTATTTTCCCATAGCCTTAAATATGTTGCTTCATTGTCTTCCCTGAATGTGGTGCTGCTGTTAGGAAGTCTGATGTTCATCTACGTTTTATTCTTTGGTTGGTGATACATCCATCTTCTACTACTGCAGCTTTAGGATTTTTCTTAATCCTAATGTTCTGAAATTTCGCTCCAATGTGTCCAAGTACAGAGGTTGAGGTATCATACACCTTGTTATCATCATTGGCTTATTATACAAGGACTATCTCTTGTTTTACTTATACATTTATTCTTTTTCTCTTCATTCTCCATTCCCATCTCCACCTTAGGCAACCACTATAATGTGTTTGATGCGTATCCTTTAGTTTTCATAAATTGCTGTAAAAAGTGTGTTATTGTTTTATGTATGTGTATTGTAAAGGGTCGCATGCTGTAGACCTGATTTTCTTCATTTTTCACTCAGCACCATCTTTTCAAGACATGTCCATGTTGCTGTCCACACATCCAAGCTGATGTTGCATAATACTACATTTCTGCATAAGGTTCCATGTTAGATTTAACATTTTTACCCAAATAGAAAAAATTGGTTGGGCATGGTGGCGTGTGCCTACAGTCCCAGCTACTCCAGAGGCTGAGGCAAGAGAAGCACCTGAGTCCAGGAGGTTGAGGTTGTGGTGAGCTGTGAACGCAACACTGTACTCCAGCCTGGGCAACAGAGCAAGACCCTGTCTAAAAAAAAAAATTTATTCTCCTGTTTGCAATTTCCTATTTAAGTTATATGGTATGTGAGGGTGGTGTTTGTGTGTACTTAATTGTTTTAGAGTGGTCTTAAGTCCACAGCAAAATTGAGCAGAAGGTATAGGGATATATACACCCTACCCCCACATATGCACAGCCTCCTTCACTTCTTTCACTTGGTAATATGCATTTAAATTTCCTCCATTTCTTTTCATGGATTGATAGTCCATTTATTTAATTAAATTATTTATTTGAGACAGAGTCGCACTCCGTCACCTAGGCTAGAGTGCAATTGTGCGATCTCGGCTCACTCTAACCTCCATCTCCTGGGTTCAAGTGATTCTCCTGCCTCAGCCTCCTGTGTATCTGAGATTACAGGCACCCGCCAACATGCCCGACTAATTTTTGTATTTTTAGTGGAGACAGGGTTTCACCATGTTGGCCAGGCTGGTCTCAAACTCCTAACCTCAGGTGATCCACCCACCTCGGCCTCCCAAAGTGCTGGGATTACAGGCATGAGCCACGGAGCCTGGCTGATAGTCTATTTATTCTTTTCACTGAATAATATTTCACTGTCTGGGTGTGCCACAGTTGATATACCCATTCACTTACTGAAGCACATCTTAGGCATATATTTTTTGCCTTCTCTGCATTTATCTTTTTTGAAGTTGTTCCAAATTCTCAAGCATACTTCAGTCTCTGGAAATCTCTTTTTTTCCTTGGATCTGTCTTTCCTGGGGTCTTTCTTACACCTGTTCCAAACTGGATTGATTGTTCTCTAGGTACCTTTCTGAGATCTTCCTCCTGGGATCCATTGTGGCTTGTGGCCTGACTTCCATGTCTTCCATCTTCCCAGATTAGTCATTTTTTTTTCTTTTTTGAGATGCAGTCTCGCTCTGTCACCCAGACTGGAGTGCAGTGGTGTGATCTCAGCTCACTGCAACCTCTGCCTCCCAAAGTGCTGGGATTACAGGCATGAGCCACCACGGCCAGCGAGTCACCCATTTTGATATAGCATACCCTCAAGTAACTTTCAAAGCAAGCGGGAAACTTTTCTAAGACTTCGTATGACTAAGAATGCTTTTATTCTACATTTACCTTTTTCTTTGATTTTTTTCTGACAGTTTCTCACTCTGTCACTCAAACTGGAGTGCGGTGGTGCAATCTCTGCTCATTGCAACCTCTGCTTCCCAGGCTCAAGCAATTCTCATGCCTCAGCCTCCCAAGTAGCTGCGATTACAGGCGTGTATTACTATGCCCAGCTAATTTTTGTATTTTTAATAGAGATGGGGTTTTGCCATATTGGCCAGGCTGGTTTCAAACTCCTGACCTGATGCGATCCACCCATCTCAGCCTCCCAAAGTGCTGGGATTAACAGGCATCAGCCACTGCACCCGGCCCCTACATTTACCTTTGGTTAATAGTTTGGTTGGACATAGAATTCTAGGTGGAAAATTTCCCCTCAGAATCTTGAAGTTGTCCTTTTATCTTTTGGTATCTGGCCTCTTGGAAAATCTGATATTTGTTTGTTTTTTTCCTTTGTAGATAATCTACTTTTTAATCTCTATGAAAGCTCTTAGGATCTACTTTTTCAGTTTGATGTTGTGTAATTTCATAAGGATCCATGTAAGTGTCAACATGCTGGATACTTAGTTAACCTTTTCCATATACAGACTGCAGAGTTCTCTTGCAGTATTTCTATGATAATTTCCTCCTCTCCTTTTTATTTTCTCCATTCTCTCTCTGGAAGTCCAAATACTCAGAGTTTGGAATCTCCTCTATTGATCTCTTTTTATTTTCTCTCAGATTTCCCGCGGTTTTCCTTTGGGAGTTAAGTTATATGTTAAAGTGTTATAAACAAAGTTTAGCCCACCTGAATTTTGACATTTAGGGAAGTGGTTACCTTAAAAGTCGTGACCTCCATGCCCAGGATCTTGGAATAAAACATGGTAGTGTCTTTGATGCTCTTTACTGTCATCACGATGTGGTCAAGTCTACAGATAAGACTTGGGGGAGGAGTCTGACTGCTGTCCCTCCACGACTAAAAAAAGAAAAAAAGTCAGAAGAGACCACATTGCCACTTGTCACGCTCATGTTTCCTTCTCCTCACCTCCCCCCACCTCCCCAATGACTCTACTTCCTCCTCACCCTCTTTCAGGGGAAAGGCCTGAGAGAATACTTACTGGCAGAGTCTTATTGCCCATGTGTGGATTAACCAGAGTCCATGTGTCTGCCATGACCACTCTCCACTGTTTTCTTGTTCCCTTTCTTTTTTTCCTTTTTTTCAGACAGAGTCTCACTCTGTTGCCCAGGCTGGAGTGCAGTGGCACAATCTTAGCTCACTGCAACCTCCACCTCCCAGCTTCAAGCGATTCTCTGCTTCAGCCTCCCGAATAGCTGGGACCACAGGTGTGTGCCACAACGCCTGGCTAATTTTTGTATTTTTAGTAGAGACGGGGTTTCACCATGTTGGCCAGGCTGGTCTCAAACTCCTGACCTCAAGTGATCTGCCCACCTTGGCCTCCCAGAGTGCTGGGATTACAGGCTTGAGTCACAGCACCCAGCCTTGTTCCCTTTCTCCTTCCAGAAGTGAAAATTAGGGGAGTGGAGACAAAGACAATACCCTCCCTTGTTTTCCCTAAGTAGAATTCATTTTCTTTCCAAGAAGTGACAAGACACAGAAGAGCCCAACCCTGTGAATACAAGCCCTCCATTGGCCAATTTTACCCAGCCCCCTCCTTTCCCATTCTGCAGCTTCGGTCACAGAGAACAGGACGAGAAGGGGGCGTCTCAGAAGAAACGAAAGTTTCTGGGCATGTGTATTTATAGATTCGCCTTGACACCCAGAGGGAGGACTACTCCCCCACCTTCCACTTTCCCACCCTCAGCACACTTCCCATCAGATCTTTCTCTTGACTTGAACCATTTAGTAAATTGTATATGAACAGTATCTCTGCTGCAGGATTATAAAGCACCTGTGGTCTGGCACTATAAGCAATGGAGTGTAATGCTTAAAAGTATAGATTATGATTTTTTACAAATTTTTTTTTGAGACAGAGTCTTGCTCTGTCACCTAGGCTGGAGTGCAGTGACGGGATCTCGGCTCACTGCAACCTCTGAACCCCCCCCACCCACATACACACCAGTTCAAGGGATTCTCCTGCCTCAACCTCCCAAGTAGCTGGGATTACAGGCGTCTGCCACCACACCCAGCTAATTTTTGTAAAAAAAGATTAGTCAAAATTAGTAAAAGTATAGATTCTGGTGGTAGCACCTGTAATCTCAGTGCTTTGGGAGGCTGAGGTGGGCAGATCCCTTGAACCCAGGAGTTTGAGACCAGCCTGGGCAACACAGTGAGACCCTGTATCTACAAAAAAATACAAAAATTAGCTAGGCAGGGTGGAGCTCACGTGTAGTTTCTGTTACTTGGGGGGCTGAGGTGGGAAGATCGCTTGAGCCCGGGAGTTGGAGGTTGCAATCAGCTATGATCGTGCAACCGCACTCCAGCCTGGGTGACAGAGCAAGACTGTGTCTCAAAAAAAAAAAAAAAAAAAAAAGATTCTGGAATCAGACTGACATTTAAATAATTTCTCTAGTTTCTCTGTGCCTTGGTTTCTCCTTCCATAAAATGAGCAGGATTTTATACATATATTATAGGATTATTGTGAGAGTTTTAAAAAACTACTCTCTCTCTCTCTATATATATATATATATTTTTTTTTTTTTTTTTTTTTTGAGACGGAGACTTGTTCTGTCGCCATGCTAGAGTGCAGTGGCGCAATCTTGGCTCACTGCAACCTCTGCCTCCTGGGTTCAAGCAATTCTTCCGCCTCAGCCTCCCGTGTAGCTGGGACCACAGGCTCGTGCCACCACGCCCAGCTAATTTTTGTAGTTTTAGTAGAGATGGGGTTTCACCGTGTTGGCCAGGATGGTCTCGATCTCTTGACCTCATGATCTGCCTGCCTCGGCCTCCCAAAGTGCTGGGATTACAGGTGTGAGCCACTGCACCTGGCAAAAAACTACTATATTTTTAAGCGTGTAGAACAATGCCTGACATTGACACATATCAAGTGCAATAAAAGGATTGATGATGATGATGATGATGATGATGATGATGTGGTCATCTTGTTAAAATCTAGACTCCAGTTACAACGACCCCCAGTCTCTACAGTCTCATTCATTGCTCTTGAACTCCAAGCTACACTGTCCTTTTGCCTGTTCCTCATAAGGGCAATTCTTGTACTGTTCGTTTCAGGGCCTTTGCAGATGGTAATGCCTGTCTCCCTGACTAGAAGTAAGCTTCATAAGAGCAGGGACCTATCTGTTTTGTTCCCCACTATTTCCCAAACAACTAGTTCAATCATATTTGTTCAATAAATATCTACTGCAACAATTAGGGACAGTGCTTAGCACAAAGTCTGACTATTTTCTATTCTGTTCAATTCGATTCCATTCTATTCTATCTACCCTTTGCTATTTTATTATTTTCTATTCCACTGCATTTAGTTCCATTGAAACCAGCCCATTTTAAACAATTGATTTCACTGAGCTCCAGGTAAAAAAAAAAAATCCAAATAAATAAATAAATAAAAATATCCTGTACCATTTTATTTTCCTGAGTGGAGGAGGCATTAGCAAAGTTGCTGAGTTCTGCTCTCCTTGTGGATACAGAAGATCCACAGGGACATAGGGACTACAGAAAGGGAAAATGACCAACATTTTGGCTCCACTGAAAATAAAGTCGTTTCACTAGCAAGCAGACTCAGATGGAGATTAAAAAAAGAAAGAAAGAAAGAAAGAAAAAAGAAAATAAAGCCATATGTTGAAAAAAATCTTATTAACTTTCTTTCTTATTCCCTTTTTGAGACAGAAGCTTGCTTTGTTGCCCAGCCTGGAATGTAGTGACACGATCGCAGCTCACTGCAGTCTCACCCTCCTGGACTCAAGGAATCCTCCCACTTCAGCCTCTGTTGTAGCTGGGATTACAGGTGTGTGCCACCATGCCCAACTATTTTATTTTCTTTTTTCATTTTTTGTAGAGGTGAGGTCTCACTGTTTCCCAGGCTGGTCTTGTACTCCTAAGCTCAAGCGATCCTCCTGCCTCAGCCTCCCAGAGTGTTGGGATTATAGGCATGAGCCACTGCACCTGGCCCTTATTAACCTTCTAACATCTGTAGAATCTGTCACAATACCCTGTTTACATTCCTGATATTGACAATCTATATTTTTTCTCTTAATTACTCAAGAGAAAACAGATATTGCTAATATTTTATTAATCTGTTCAAAGAATCAACTTTTGATTTGTTGCCTTTATTGTATGTTTGCTTTCTATTTCACCAGTTTCTACTGTTATAATTTCCTTGCTTCTACTTTCTTAGGTTCAATTTGCCATTCTTTTCCCAGCTTCTTGATAGGGAAGCTCAGGTCATTGATTTTCAACTTTTCTACTTTTCTGATCTATGCATTTAGAACTATAGATTTCCTCTAAGCACTGCTTTGGCCACATCCGCATCATTTTGATAGTTGATTGGAAATAAACTCCACCTATTCCTCCCATTATTCAGTTCCCTGCCAGCTCAGTGTCGCTCCCCAGATTCTGCTTTGCAGACTCGGAGCTTCACCCTTGCAAATTCAAAAGTGAGCAGGGATGGCTCTTTTAAGGAACAGGAAGGCCAGCATGGCTCAGAACCCAAGAGTGAGTGAGAGATGAGTGGCAGGGCAAGGCAGGGTCTGGATCCGGCAGGGTCTGGATCCTTCAGGGTCTTGAAGGTGAAGTTACAAAGTCTGCTTTATAAAATGATGATCAAGACATAGTCATCACACAAAGGGCTAGTTGTGGTGGCTCATACCTATAATGCTAACACTTTGGGAGGCCGAGGTGCGTGGATTGCCTGAGGTCAGGAGTTTGAGACCAGCCTGGCCTACATGGTGAAATCCTGTCTCTACTAAAAATACAAAAATTAGCTGGGCATGGTGGTGCGCACCTATAATCCCCACTACTCAGGAGGCTGAGGCCAGAGAATTGCTTGAATCTGGGAGGTAGAGGCTGCAGTGAGCTGAAATCGTGCCACTGCACTCCACCCTGGGCGACAAAAGCAAAACTCAGTCTCAAAAAAAAAAAAAAAAAAGACATAGTAATCGCACAAGGCTCACTGTGTGCCAAGCCCTGTTTTACACACTCTACAAACATATAATCAATTTTATTTCTCACCACAGCCTATAAAATCCCTATAGTCAGAGTGCCCGGAACACCATGTCCTTCCTCCTCTGGCCTCCTTCACGGGGAAGCATTCTGTCTTCCTACAGGGTCCTCTTCAAGGTCCCCTTCAGGCTGCCAGGGGCCTCTGAATTCCTCTCTTAAAGTTCAAGGTCAGAGCTGTGTTTCCTAGCCTTTCTCCACACAGCCTTAATCATGACAGCTTCGGGGACACCCTGCATGAGCCTCCTTTGTGTCTCTCCACCCGTCCCTGGCTGAACTGGAGGAGGAGCCAGCCTTCAGCCCTGGCGCAGCCATGCACACCTGAACACAGGGCCCTCATGGCTTAGAGCGGGGCCTTTCCATGGGCCTCTGCTGCCATCTGCTTGTCTCTGAAAGAGGAAGGGAGAAAGGACAGGAAACAGGAGCCCGCAGAGAAGGAAAACAGGTTACTAGACCAGCTTTGGTGCCAACACCCTTGCCCCAGACTCCCAGGGGACACCTTGTTCACCTGTTTCTCCGAAGTCCTGCCCCACATCTTGACTGGCAGCCTGGAGGGCAGACGGCACAGCATGGCAGGGTAGGCGTCCTTGCCCAGGGGCCTCCCAACAACCCTCTGTCTCAGCACTTGGAGATCAAGGGGCGGAACAGGAGGGCACAGGCCGAGGACTGTGGGAGGTGACAGAGGTAGGTGGAGAGCAAATGGAAGGACTTTGACATTAAACTCAGGGCCTTAAAATTAAAAGCTTAACATGGATGTGTGTAAGGGATTACTTCTTGATAACACTGAAGGCTGGGTGCGGTGGCTCCTACCTGTAATCCCAGCACTCTGGGAGGCCAAGGTGGGTGGATCACCTTAGGTCAGGAGTTCGAGACCAGCCTGGCCAACATGGTGAAACCTCATCTCTACTAAAAATACAAAAATTAGCTGGGCGTGGTGGCGGGTGCCTGTAATCCCAGGTACTTGGGCGGCTGAGGCAGGAGAATCGCTTGAACCCGAGAAGCGGAGGTTGCAGTGAGCCAAGATTATGCCACTGAACTCCAGCCTGGGAGACAGAGTGAGACTCCATCTCAAAATAATAATAATAATAATAGTAATAATAATAACACTGAAAAACTACCAAAGGAATCTTTATTCTAGGGTATGATGTCTCTGGTCTACTTAGGGGTGTGTCTTCAAAGTGTGAGATCTATGAGCTGTTTGAAAGTGTGTTTCAGGGGTGTGAAGTTGTGGGCTGAGTTAGAGTATGACTGCTCTGACCTATTATCGGTCTGTTTCCAAGCCAAGATCCCTACATTCTTTTTTTTTTTTTTCTTCTTTGTTACCTCCAATAATGGCTATAAGCAAGATCCCTAAATTCTTAAGAGTTCTGAGCCCCTTGGCCGAGCACAGTGGCTCACGCTTGTAATCCCAGCACTTTGGGAAACCAAGGTGGACCGATCACTTGAGGCCAGGAGTTCGAGACTAGCCTAGCCAAAATGGTGAAACTCCGTCTCTACTAAAAATACAAAAATTAGCTGGGCATGGTGATGTGCACCTGTAGTTCCAGCTACTCCGGCGCTTGAGGCAGGAGAATACTTTGGACTTGGGAGACGAAGGTTACAGTGAGCTGAGACCGCACCATTGCATTCCAGCCTGGGTGACAGAGCGAGACTCTGTTTAAAAAAAAAAAAGCTCTGAGCCCCAGTGTGTGATGTTCCTGAATTATTTTGGGGGATATGTTTTGGAGGATGAGATTTGCAGTCTTCCTCCTCCACCCCACTCACCTTCCCCTGCTGAGAGTCAGAGAACATTCATCAGCCTCGTTGCTGTTCACCTTACCCTGAGCTGAGCTCCCCCATCTCTCTTACAGGTTACCTGTCTGGTCCCTGGAGCATGTGAGTTTGAGATTTTTGTAGAGTTACCCCCTACACGAACACTTTGTGCTGTGGATATTATTTTGTTTTTGTTTTTGTTTTTTTGAGACAGGGTCTCGCTTTGTCACCCATCCTGGAGCCCACCGGTCCCATCAAGGCTCAGTGCAGCCTCAAACTCCTAGGCTCAAGGGATCCTCTTGCCTCAACCTCCTGGGTAACTGGGACTACAGGTGTGCGCCACCACGCTTGGCTAATTTTTGTATTTTTGGTAGGGATGAGGTCTTGCTATGTTGCCTACAATTGGCCTGCTTTGGCCTCCTGAAGTGCCGGGATTACAGGCGTGAGCCACAGCGCCCTGCCAGATATTGTTTTTAAGCATATGATTTTCTTTTAAAAAGAGTTACACAAATAATATGCAAATACAGGCTTGTATAAAAGATTTGAACAACAGGCCGAGTGTGGTAGCTAACCCCTGTAATCCCAGCACTTTGGGAGGCTAAGGCGGTGGATCAGTTGAGGTCAGGAGTTCGAGGCCAGCCTTGCCAATATGGTGAAACCCCATCTCTACCAAAATTACAAAAATTATCTGGGCATGGTGGCAGGCACCTGTAATCCCAGCTACTCGGGAGGCTAAGGCACCAGAATCACTTGAACCTGGAAGGCAGAGGTTGCAGTGACCTGAAATCATGCCTGGACAACAGAAGGAGACTCTGTCTCTCAAAAAAAAAAAAAAAAAAAAAAGATTTGAACAACACATCAGTACATGGACTCTACCAATCATCTCTATTCCCATCCCCTCAAAATCACCACTGGGGTCAGATTCTGGTGTTTCCTTCCAGATATAGTTCTCTGTGTTTACATAATGTGTGCGTGCATGCACTACACACATGCACTAAGTCACTGTAACTGACTCCCCCTTGCTTTTCCCTGCCTATAGCACATCCCCTGCAGGTACACACAAGTCCCATCTATTCTGTATCATGGCCAGTGGGCACTCTGTGCTGTAACATGAACCCCCATTATTCATTTCACTCTGCCACGGTCCTTGACTATCAGTGGACATTTACAAACTTTTCCTGGTTGTTTGCTCCTACCAGCCTTGTTCACACAGTTCTGTGCACATGTGCGAGTACTAGAGTTAGAAGTGGAATTGCTGGGTGTATTAGAGTTCTCAAGAGAAACAGAACCACTAGGAGAAACAGAACCAATATGTAATATATTATAAGGAATTGGCTCATGTGATTTTGGAAGCTGAGAAGTTCCACAATCTGCCATCTGCAAGCTGGAGACCCAGAAGAGCCAGTGGTGTAGTTCTGAGAACCAAAGTGCTGATGGTGTTGGCTGGGTGTGGTGGCTCATGCCTGTAATCCCAGCAATTTGTGAGGCCGAGGCAGGTGGATCACTTGAGGTCAGGAGTTCAAGACCAGCCTGGCTAACACAGCCAAACCCTGTCTCTACTAAAAATACAAAAATCATCCAGGTGTGGTATACTCCTCTGGTCCTAGCTACTTGGGAGGCTGAGGCAGGAGAATTGGTTGAACCCAGGAGGCAGAGGTTGCAGTGAGCTGAGATTGTGCCACTGCACTCTAGCCTGAGTGACAGAGTGAGACTCTGTCTCAAAAAAATAAAACAAAACAAAACAACAAAGGGTTGATGGTGTAAGTAAGTCCCAGCCAAGGGCAAAGGACTGATGTTCCGGAGCAGTCAGGCAGGGAGCAAATTCCACCTTCCTCCATCTTTTTGTTCTATTCCAACCTTCAGTGGATTGGGTGATGCCCATTCACATTGGGCAGAGCCATCTGCCTCACTCAGTCCAACAGTTCAAATGCTAACCTCATCTGAAACACCCTCACAGATCCACCCAGAAATAATATTCAACAGGGCATCCTGTGTCCCTATTAAGTTGACACATAAAATTTATCATCACAAGTCCACCCCTTGTCAACTGTCCTTTTCCACTGTCTTTCAGAGATGTCTCAAAAAAGGCTGTAGTGCTGCAGCTGCCCACTTTCAGAGTGTGCCTACATAACATGCAGAACCTTCTGTTAACCAGGCCCTAGTCTTCTCTTCCTCTGTCAACTAATTGTAGGGAATGCCCCATGAGGCCACAGGCACAGGCTGGGAGAGAGAAGGCAGGGTGGAAGGAGCGGGGACCATGGGCATTTAGGCCACTTCCTCATGTAACTTACTTGTGTCTTCATGGCCTGCCCAGGCCCCATCACACATTTCCCATTTCCATTTGATGATGGAGCGCTGCTGTGCACACCGACTCTTGCTTAGTTAGGTAACACCCAGTTCATGATGAGCAGGAATGTCACTTGGTGGCCCATGGTCAAGTATTTAGTTTCTACTAAGACCTAGTAGCAGACCAAGAGCTGTTTCTCTCTCTATATTTTTTATTTTTTTGAGACAGGGTCTCACTTTGTCACCCAGGCTGGACTGCAGTGGCACAATTACAGCTCATTGCAGCCTCGACCTCCTGGGTTCAAGCAATCTTCCCACCTCAGCCTCCTGAGTAGCTGGGACTACAGGCATGTGCCACTCCACCCAGCTATTAATAATTTTTGTATTTTTTGTAGAGATGTATTTTTGCCATGTTTCTCAGGGTGGTCTCGAACTCTTGGGCTCAAGAGATCTGTTGGCCTCAACCACCCAAAATGCAGGGATTACAGGAGTGACCCACCATGCCCAGCCAAGAGCTGTTTCTCAAAAGGAGGGTAGTTATCTGCAGAGGATAGTAGGGCTTTGCTCCAAAATCCTAAAGGAGGGTCACCAAAGTTCATTTAGGAGGCTAAGATTTGTGGATTGCCTGAGCCCAGGAGTTCAAGACCAGCCTGGGGAACATGGGGAAATAGCATCTCTACAAAAAATACAAAAGTTAGCCAGATGTGGTGGTGCACACCTGTAGCCCCAGCTACTAGGGAGACTGAAATGGAAGGATCACTTGAGCCTGAAAGGTCCAGGTGGCAGTGAGCTGTGATCGTGCCACTGCACTCCAGCCTGGGTGATAGAGTAAGACCCTGTCTCAAAAAATAAAAAACAAAATCCTAAAGGACTAGGCTGTGATTCACCTATCAAGCCTGTCAAGAGCTCCAACCAGTATCCCTATCTGCCACTGTCACTTCAAGCACCATTGGATCTGCTGGGTCACATGACCCAAGTGGCAAAGCAGCTTGCACAGCAGCCTGGATCTGTTGCAGAGCCTTCTCCTGTTCTGTGCTCCACATAAAACTTGCAGCTTTTCAGGTCACTTGGTAAACAGGCCTGTGTAACATGCCCAAATGAGGAATGTGTTGCCTCCAAAATCTGAATAGGCCTGCTAGGCACTGTGCCTCTTTTTTGGCTGAACCACAGACCAGATGCAACTACTTATCCTTCACCTTAGAAGGAATATGTTGACAGACCCCACATTGGCCTCCTAGAAATTTCACTGAAGTAGAAGTTTCCTCAATTTTTGTTGAATTTATTTCCCACCCTCTGACACAGAAATTTCTCATCAATAAGTCTAGAGTAGTTGCTACTTCTTGTTCAGTACGTCCACTCAGCATAATGTCATCAATGTTATGGGGCCAGTGTGATACCTGTGGAAGGGAAAGGCAATCAAAGTCCCTGTGGACTAACTTATGACATAGGGCTGGAGAGTTAATTGATATACCACTGAGGCAGGAGAGTGACGGAGTACAGCTGGCCTTGCCAATTGAAACCAAAGTGCTTCTGGTACC